TTTTCGCTTGGTATTGCAAGTGCACAAAAATATAGCTAATAAAAAGGAAACAAACATAAATTTTAAATTTTATAAAGACAACTGGGGTTAATATATACATAACCTAGCTAGCTATAGTAATAAAGAATGTTATAAAGCTACAAAACGTATTGAAACAAGAAAATTAAAACTACAAAAATTGAGTTACCTAAAAGGTAAAAAAAGAAACAAAAATCCTACTCTGGCAAATCACTGTAATTATGTTAGTCTGAGCCGAACTAGGTATAAAAAATTTTTAATTTTAAGTAATTAATTTTTCTAGTTTTGACTTTCTTATTTCAATACTTTTTGTAGCATTAAATTTTTCTATACTACTATAACTAACTAGGCTACCTATATATCGGTCTCTACTTGTCTTTATAAAATTTAGATATTTTTATTACACTTGTTGTATAAACAGTGGACCACAAAATCAAATATTTTAGACCAGATAAGTAACCTTCAGATTTGAAAATAAGCTTGTTTGTTTGCAGTTAAACTCAAAGCTACACACAATGGATCACCTGTGTTGTGCAAACCATGAGTATTGAAACCCAGTTTTTAGCGTTATAACTGACAATGAAATCGAACGTTTCATTGGTTCTCTTACATCGCATATACGATAGGGATAAAAATACATTTGTTTTTTGTTGTTGTTTTTTCGTATACGTTGCAATAAGCGATGGGCTCAATTTAAGTTTATGTATTTTATAAGTAATTAATCACATTGCTTGAAATATAAAAACTGATAGAAGTTGTAAAAATAATTGTAAGAAAAAACTAAGAATCTTCAATGGACAGTCGCTTGATTCTAAACAACGTTAATAGCAGTTCTGGATCAAAGCCATGTTTAGGATATGAAACGATAAACATTAAGCTAGATTGAAAAATAATCAAAACAGTCACTGTGATAGAGAGAGAGATAGATGGTTTGTTTGATGTTAAGCGATGAGCTGTCTCTGGGAGGTATTGACCCCTGAATTTTAGCATTATAAGCCCTTAATTTTACTGCTGAGCCATCAGAGAGCATATGTATATATATTTGTTGAATGTCGCGCAAAGCTACACGAGTGCTATCTGCGTTGACCGTCTTTATACTAGAGGGAAGGCATTTAGTCAACAACACCCATTACTCACTCTTGGACTACTTTTTACCAACGATTAGTGGGCTTGAATGTCACATTATAACACCCCCATGGCTGAAAGGATGAGCATGTTAGGTGAAGGGATTCGAACTGCAATTTGCAGATTACGAGTCGAGTGCCCTAACCATAAAATATATATATATTTAAAAAACAGATGAAAACCTGATAAGTGGGTTGAATTTGAAAACGATAAACGTTAAATTTGTAAAATAGAAATTATGATAGAGAAAGTTATCCTACATAAAAACATTGACAAGAAGAAAGAACAAAATAATATCTAGAAGGAAAAGTTAATCAACGTAAATATGCTAATATAAAGAATAGAAGACCAAGTGGCCCGGTAAATTGCCAAGTTTGAAAGTCGTAAAGAACAAGTTCCAGTACTTTTTTTTTGTTCACTTGTTTATTGTTAACCACAAAATTACACAATGAGCTATCTTCGTTGTGTCCACCGCGAGTACCGAAACCCGATTTTTAGCGACAAAAGTTCCCAGACTTAACGCTAAGCCATCGAGAGGGGGATCGGTGTTATACGTTTTACAGCGAGTTTAGGGCAAGTTGTAAGACTGCGTGAAAACTGAATCCCAACAACGACAATATCTGATTCCTCACTTGACGTTAATTGAATAAAAGATGAAAAAAATGCGCCAAGTACGAATGCGTAAAAATAAGCGTGAGATCTGAATTCCAACAATGACAATATTTGAATCTTTACATGTCGTTGATTTATGCCAGATTTCAAAATTCACATGTTTAACTGAGACATCGTACAACTGTAAGGCTTATAGTTTCGAAGGAAATGTCATCAGTGCTAATATCAGGCATTCACTGGTGTACATGTAATTCACTTTTCCTCTTTTGTAAAATAAAATAGCGTTTGATTTTTAAGGAAATATTTTTAGAAATATTAAAAACGGATTACTATAAAAATCCGTCAAAATGAATTTATTTACAACATATTTTACAGATTCGTAATAAGTTATTGAATTGCTCTTGGTTGACCTCACTCGACCTAAAAAATCCAAGGAGTTACCATTTTCCATGTTTTTATGTACTTAAATGTTTTGAGGAAATATAAATTTTGGACGCATACACAGAAGTGATATTATTATCTTTGTTCGACTCTCGATTTTTTTCTTTCCTTTTTCATGCTGTGCACTACACTTATTTCATAAATACATTTCTTGAATAAGAAACAAAATATACCTGCTAAATAATCTATCGTATGTTGAGTAGTATAAAATATGCCTTTTTCGATGTCGAGAGAAACCCAATGCAGTTTCGATGTGCGACTGACGAAAATCGTTACCCTCAAAGTGACATGAAATACCTCTATTTGCATTTAAATCTAAAAATAGTACCAAAAGTTGTTTTTTTTTAGAACTAATTTTTTGTCATAAAACTATAGTATAAGTAGTTT